CTCTGTCTTGCTCCTTGGCTTGGGGGCTGAAGAGATTTTGGTCAAACTCTCGTAGTCTCGAATCGAGTACGCACAACTCTTGATATCCCTCGACGCATATCTGATATATTGTGTCCCAATCTTGCTTTGCAGCTACCGGGCGATCGAATATGAGGGATTCGGCGTGAGCGTCTCGACGTGCGCGGAGGTCTAATTCGTTCGTGGATTTCGCGGCAATCGTGCGCAACTGCGCTGCGAATGCTGAAGTGGTGGGAGGCATGTCTGCCACACAATGTCGTTCAAGGAGACATCAGAGGCGACTGCGCAAAAAAAGAACAGCAGTCCACAAGTCTGATTTATTTGGTTGTAGCAAAGAACATGCATTCACTTCTACAATTACAACTTTTTTGTCGGAACAAAAATTTTGCGGGGTTAGTCGGATTTAAGTACGAGTCAGACTGCAACTGTATTTATGCTCCGGCGAGTCATGTCCTTGTTAGAGTCGACGACAAGTATCGAATTCGGTAAGTGTCAGTGCAATCTCGATTGAGCATATCTGGGTGACTACTGTGTATGCGCGAAAGGTGTCGAGGAAGCACACCACCAGTGAGAGTAAGTGCATAATCCAAACCTACAAGACCTTCCAAGACTTCAAAAAGAGGTCATTGTGGCTTAGACCGGCATCACTCCAGACTCCGCCACCTGTTTGTCTTCTCAATGACAAGCCATCATCCGTTGATGTCTCTGTGACCTTGGTCATCAAGTCTTATTTGAACCATCTGGGCGAGAGAAGGAAACAATCAGTATTGGTTCTCTAGGCTGAACGTCATTCTGGTCCATCTACATACACAGTCGAAGTCAGCGTCAGAGTCAGACCCTGTCTACGCCCAACTGAAGACTTCGACATCATCAATTCCACTACCAAGCCACACTGGGCGAGATTATCATGGGCTTCTTCAAATCCCTCAAGGGTAAAGTAGACGTCGGCACGGACGATACGCCCACCGGTTCTCAATACGATGCATATTCCACGGCGGAAGAAAAGCGTCGCGTGTTCGGACGCTCTTCCTCGAACGATAATTATACAACAACAACAGACGAGCAATACGATCCGCCATCCGGCCCTCCACCTCCTCAATCCCGACAATCTGAATTCGCTCCTCCTCCAGGCCCTCCCCCCAACTTTCTGAAGGGCACCACCGCACAACAACCGCGACAAGATGACGAAGAAACCTACGCTCCTCCTTCAGGGCCGCCTCCGGGAAACCCGCCACCTTACCACGACTGGACCGTGATCCCGGACACGGCACTACTCCCTCCCCCTCCTCCCTTGCCGCAGGACTACTCTCCCACCAACAACGCGAGTTACGACTCGGCCGCCCGCGCCCACGAGTGGTGCGCCCGACACCCCCTCTACACCCCTTCGCCACCGTCTCGGGACATCCACGACCTCGCGGCGTCGGGCCACCTGACCCTCGAACGTCCCCCGGCGCAACTTTGCAACAAGAACTTCGTCCTCCGCCAAAAGACCTCGACGACGTGGTCCGTCCGCACGCCCTCGCAACAGCAAGACGCCGTCATCATGTCGAGTATCCCCTTGTACTTTGCCGCTGTCGACAACCCCCTCGTCGCCGGTCACCCCAAGACCGTCTCCTTTGAGATCCACGTCCTCAAGATATCCAACGCAAACTCGGGAATCGCCGTCGGCTACGCGGCCAAACCGTACCCGCCGTGGCGCCTGCCGGGATGGCACCGCGCCAGCATCGGCGTGCACGGAGACGACGGACGACGTTTCGTCAACGATTCCTGGGGCGGACGCGACTTCGTCGAACCTTTTCGACCTGGAGAGACGGTCCGGGTGGGCATGAGATTCTCGGCGACACCTGCTGATGCGTCAGGGTCGTTGGGCAAAGTCAAGACGACCGCTTTTGTCGCTCGAAACGGACGCACCAACAAGGATTGGGAATGGGAAATCGACGAGGAAAGAGACGAGCGTGACGAAGGTGTCGACGGGTTGATGGGCGAAGGTGATTTGTATCCTGCCATTGGCGTGTTTGGGGCGGTTGAATTTGAAGTAAGGTTTGGGGTGAGCTGAACAATTGAATTCATGGCTCGCCTACCTCCAACCCTACGGAGTACCTCGAGGAGGTCACTCGAAGAGTGCCTGGACGTTGGTTAATTCTTACTTCTTCAAAGTATGAATGAATAACGATATCACCATGAGGCCTTGCTCCAATCTTGTACAAAGCACAAAGACTATACATTGTAGCGTATCTGAGGACCTGTTGATCGCGACCTTTGCCCACTATCTAACTGTATTCAATCATTCAAGCCGTACACCACAATCGTATCACCATCCAAAATCACAAGGGTTACTCATACGAAAATCAATTCCCTCAACAACATCACCTCTCGTGCAACACGTTGTCAACGACGGACGCCGTCTTCAATAGTTCCTCCTCACGCATGTTCCTCCCCACAATCTGTACTGCACACGGCATACCCTCTATCTCTTCTGGATTATCTAGATCGATTGTCAATACGCATTAGTATCACCACATGGATCTAATCTGATCTTCAAATCCATCTTGCAAAGGGAGAAAATAAAAAAGGGACATGAACTTACAAGGAGGTATATACTTGACTTCCCTCAGGTATTTCGCATCGTCGATTTTGTTCGCTTTTCTCCAAGGGACGATGCAAGCAGGGTACTATGACGGGGGCACATCGACAAGTTAGGATCGTTTGCTTCTCGCTCACGCAAGTATACCTTGGGACACCTCAAGGTGGTAGACTCATATTTTCGGGGTTTCGTGGACAGACAAACTCACATCGAGAAGGTTATTCAACACAGTATAGGGCACCCAACTGATCAAGTCGTGTCGTGGAGCCGTACTCTGATACGCCGGCATGATGATGGCGTCGAGTCCATTCTCCACGATGAGCTTGCGGAATCCGTCCTGAAACTCGGCCCGCCGGACGTTGAGATCGTACAGGCTCTCGAGCGTGAGCGGCGCGTACTCGGCGCGCACGTGCTCGTGAGGCAAGTCGGTCGAGCTGAGCGCGGGAATGCGCGGTTCGCCGCTGGCCTTGATGTGTTCGAACGCCGTGTTGGCCGGGTCCATGGCGAACATGCGGAACGAAAGGACCATGGCGTCGTAGATGGACGGCGTGGTTAGCTTGACCACCTGATGTCCCGCGGCTTCGAGGGCGGCGGCGGCACGAGTCAACGTGTTCATGACGGGCGGGTGTATGGGGAAATGAGGGTCTTCTACGATCAAACCGAATGTGAGACGACTTTTGGTCTGCCCTCCTCCCCCGCCCAAAAACGCTTGCCTCCTCCACGGCGAGAATATAGCGCTCGCATCTAGTCTCCAAGGGTCCGAGTCGACCACGACACGCGTGAAGAGTTCCAGGTCTCGAACGGACGTGGCCAAGGGCCCGGCACAGGGTTTGATCCCCGTGAGCCCTTTACGGGCTGAGCTCGTTTGGCCGCCGTATGGAATCCGATCGGCCGAGGGGCGTAGCGAGTACGTGCCGTTGCAGAATGCAGGGATGCGCACGCTGCCCGCGATGTCGGTCCCGACGCCCAAGATGGACCCGCGCATGGCGATGAGTGCGCCTTCGCCGCCTGATGAGCCACCGGCGCTGAGATATGATCGGTGAGGGTTCAATGTTCGTCCAAAGACGTAGTTGTGAGAGTCTCCTGCCTATGAAACAGAAAACAAGAGGGGCCCTGTTAGCTGCGTTCATTCGTTCGTTCGTTCATTCGTTCATGAGACTACGACTTTGGAGATTCTACATACCATCATTGTCTGGGGGATGTTGGTCTTGACGTATAGCACAGCTCCGAGGTCTAGTAGGGTCTGGACGACGGCCGAGTTTGACTTCACCGGGCCATGTTTAATGAATGACGTGAAGCCGATAGTGCTTGGGAGGCCTTCGACATTGAAACAGTCCTTTGCAGAAGATATTAGCATTGGTCCAGCATTGGCTACAATTGTCATATCCATTCGATATCGATGCTGGTCTTCTCACCTTGAGACTGATGGGTAACCCGTGTAACGGTCCAATGACCTTACCCGTGTTCTTCAGAATAGAATCGAGTTCCCTTGCCCTTTGCAAAGCCCGGTCGAAGAACGTCTCTGTCAGACATCGACACTAAGACACATTTACTTTGTCAGTTGATCACGGCATCTTACTGGAGGGGAGACGAACCACTTGTTGTGCAATAGCTGCACGGATACAGAATGCCTCTGTGACTTCCGCCGACGTCAACTGGCCCGAGTGCAGCTTTTCCAAGAGTGCCGTTGCATCATAAGCTTCCGTGATCTCGAGTTGTTTAGCAGTGAGCAGTCCGGACTCGCGAGGGACATCCAACACGCATGTATCTCCCGTTTCGGATATGTTGGGTGTCAAAGATTCTGGTAGCAGCCATTCTTTGGGGATCTTTTCGGCAGCCTCTGCTTGTTTGGCTTGCACGAGCGTCTCCCAGGCCTGTAGGTCGGGCATAGCTCAAGTTTTCCAATTGAGATATCACTCAGACCTACTGCACCAGGTTTCAAATCAGACTCATCCTAGTTTTGAAATAATCTCGTTGGTATTGACTTTTCGATTAGCCGAAGACATCTCGGAACCCGCACCTCTTCGGCACATGAATCGAGTGCTGGGTTGGTCAGGGTCTCCCCACAAACCAAGAAGCTGGGGACAGACACGGGATATATCACCTTTGGGGATTCCAATGTGCTAGTCGAGATAGCTATCAACCCAGTTCTATCGCTAACCCATTGATACTGATGAAGTGCAGTAATTGCAACGGAGTACGGAGTATCGTTATCTTACTTCTGATTGAAATTTTATCTCCGACCCATGTACTCTCTAATTAGAGTGACCTTTTAGGTGGGACGTCAATACCATTACTACTCTGTACCCCACCACACAATTTATATTCACTATAATTTTAAGGTGCTAAATTTCCTTCAACAATCAGCACACAGATTAATTCGAAATGTGCCTCCACCGCATCAATGGTTTAATGGTCAGAATTGGTCGTTGCCAGCACCTCCTTGCTATCTCGACTAGATCCCGGTTCGATTCCGGGTTGATGCATCTTTTATTTTTCCTGTTTTTCCTTTTTTTTCAGTCCGGCTTCTTTTTTTCGGTCTCTGTTCGAAGATGGTGTAGAGCAGAATCAGTTGTCTGGCTGCAAAAACACGTGAGTGGTGGACGAGGCGCAAAGCACAATACGGAGCCAGCATATGGCATCCACCACTCGAGGAATGTAGTCTTTGTACTGAGTAGCTCGATCTGAAATATCACGCCTGAGAAAGGGAAGAGATGTTTGAGTGGTACAAATAAGTTAAGAGCAGGAATCTGCACCAGTGCGAACCACTTGTACAAAGTGTGTCTCAGGATTCAACTTGTTATTAGCGTGACTTGTCAAGCTCGAGACTGCGCTTTCCCATGGCATTCAGGGCATAGAGATAGGGGATCAAACTGGGACGTATTTTCATCCTTGGTGTGCCTTCGTCACCAAGGCCTCCCCCCCAGTCAACAATGATCTCCTTGTAATCTGGGTAAACTCCCACGTCCATATCAAAGCCGAAGCTGAATTCGTGAGAGGTGGAGGTCATCGAGTGATGAAACACAGTATGCCCATCTTTCGCTGGCTATTACTGACATAGCCCTCGCGCCTACCAACGACGTACGAAGCATGGGCTACCACGGTGGCCTGCCTGGTAATGTCCAAAATAAATGTAGGATGATATCGATAGTAGGGCAAATCTATCTAATTGCTCTCAAGTGACCCGTCGCAGGCAGGTATGGGCGGCAATTTCGGACACTCGAATCAGTGTTATGGTATCCTCAACATCCAGCTCTTGTTCAATTTTGAGATTGAGTGTCCTCGAAATTAGGACCGTCGTATTCTCCGTGCGTGAGTAGAAAGTGATGCCACACGTGAGAACACTACGTCTCCCTGGAAGGCCATCATTGTGATTGAGAGAGGAGAAAACAGGGCGGGGAAACAGGATCAGCCAGCACGCCGACTAACAAGGTAGGGTATTCGTGCTTCGAACATGATCGTCTGTTCGGTATAGCAATAGCTTGAGAATCCTACAATAGCAAGTAAGCTTTGGAGAAACAACACGAAACTCAAGGGCTTGAGATGTTGCGTTGTCGATTTACCTTGAGCTTACATCGGCCCCCTCTATTAGATAGAAGAATGTAGGTATTGCCGAACCTCAGGAAGGCGGGCACGCAAGGGTTCGAGATTGGTATTATAACTGTTTAGGTGGCATTCAGGGGGCGCTACCCTTGTAAATTCCACCCCACGCCTCGCGAGCAAGCCGCAGCTGCAGAGCAGGGTGTCGTGGCGTGTAATCCACAGAGCAGCCATAAGTTGTACAGCCTACGGGTAGGTAGCTTTTTCTGCCGTCGCCGCTGGTGGCGTGAGTTGTGGCGAGCAACTGCTGGCGCGGTGAATGCTAGCGAGCTGGGACTGCAGTAATTAGCGATGTGCAATCCTCCGGACCAGATCTGGAAACTTTGACTGGGTAAAGCGCACCCGAGGAAGTGTCGGAGAACGAATAAGAAGCGCAGTGAAAAGGGCCTGTAGAGCGGGACCTGGGATGCTTGAGCATTTCATCAGAGTCCTCACATGCGAATCGCATAAGCGCCATCCATTTCTCGTTACGAAGCAGGGTGAAGGGCTCTTGCGGCCGTGTGACTGGGACAAATCTCCATCGGTTCCTCTTAGGTCACGTTTGAGAACCCCCGTTGTCCAATCGCTAGACACCAAAATTTTCAAAACATGCATACCAGGGAAAATCAATCCTGAAAGAGGAGGTAGGTGGTGGCGAAAGTCCAGCCGGTGCAACGGTACCGGGGAGGTGGTGGCCAAGAGAGGGTTTGTCCACTGTGGTGGTCCTTTCGAGGGTTACTATTTGTCGGCAGATCAGAAGTTCGTCGTCGAGGACCAGCCAGTCGGAAAGCCTCTGCTCAATTATCCCCCTTGAGAATCTAGCCATGCAAGCGATCGGGCCTGCAAGTACCCAAGGGGGTCAGGCAAGCACCGACAGGTCCTCGAGATGACTCGCATGACCGGCTCCAGACGACTTGGGTTGCAGATTCAGATCTGTACAACGTCACACAGCATGACGCAGGAACGAATCGAGGTTGGATTGAAGCTGGCACCAGTTTGCGTTTTCGGATATCGTGGCACATGACCATCTCGGTGGGGGGTTGGCCCTATTGTCTTGTCGTGACGAGCTCAACGACTCTGGGGCCATTTGGAGAAGATAGCGCAGTGCACCTCTCTAGACCCCTTTGTTCGTTAACGGTAGCCACGCTTAGTCACCTTCTATTGACATCTTAGAATGTTGTTGACAATGTGTAGTGGTCAGTGGACGGGAATGCGGTGAGGAGATTTAGGGTGGATGTGTAAGTGGTAGTCAGCAAAATGTCACGGTGTGGTTCGCCTTCAAATTTTTGTTGCACCTCGCGCATCGTGCTGCCGGTGAGAAGCAGGGTCAGGAACCCTTTTGCATCGAGGTCTGATCAGAGGTTTCAAGGGTTTGGCAGGAATTAGAAAGCTCTACGATACTTATATCCTGAGATCCCCAAACTTCGATCAAGTGTGGTTAAGACAAGTCGATCTCGCTTCGGGCCGCGAGGCGCGAGGCTTTGATGGGCTGGGGAAGCATCGCAGTGTCTGTAGCCTTGCATTTCCGATATTCTCGTCTTCACCGCCTGTCTTGCGTCAGAATACGAGAACTGATGTACAGGGGCCCAACGAGCGGTGAGGCTCCGATGTTGACGTGCATAAACCTTCAGATGATGTGCATGAACACCAGATTGTCGATCATTCGCGGCGGCATATGACAAAGGTAGACAGCGATAGATAACTGAGGGTCAAGAGGTCAAGGCTAGCTTCCAAGTACCTCAGAACAGCCGGAAACTGATCGATGTTGGCGTCGTCAAAATTGACCAGAGGATTGACGTCATTGCCAAGAACGTCCAGAGGTGTGAGGCATGTTTCGAAGTGGTCGAAACGACATTCAGTCCTTTGTACGGCTGTCTCTGATGAAAAAGCCGTGATGAAGTTCACCGTCGGGCTTCGAGACGATTGTGGGCTTGCAGAAACAGCGCTGGATTTTGGGCGACGGATAGATCGTCCAGGCACCGTGGGCCACCCCCGCGCTGCGACTTGTTTAGGTTGCACGTCTGACCAGCTGTCTGCGTCCTCCATGCACATCAAAAAGAGGCGGTCTACGGGGGGAAGTGAAGCCCTGTCTTCCGGAGACCGTGACATATCTTCATCTTCATTCGTGCTATCTCAACGACATGACTCTGCTTGTAGAGTTGTGTATCGCGTTGACATGTGCTACTTCATCGATATCACAGGTGGGATGGTTGTACAATGTCAACACTCTGGTTGTAGCACTGCCGTTTTCGTAGTCACCCAAGGAGACTTTCATTCCGTAGAGGCGCCGGAACGTGGCTCGGGGTAACTGTACCACCAGGTGCTTCGATTTATTTCACTATTATTTCTTCATGCTTTCACCAGGCCGTAGACGGCAGTCGTGGACGTATAACATCAGCCCGACATCAGCACTTCGAGTGGTCTTGATGCTATTGGTGCCGTAGCAGTAGTCTCTGAGGAAGAGAGGAGATGATCCTGTCTACAGATGGCTCGGTGATAAACCGGTTGCTCCCCGGCTCGTGGTTTTCAGCTGAGTGCTACTTGACACGACTATCTGCGTACAGCGAGGTATTTGCGAGGGCTGTCACTTGAAGAAACACCGCAACTTGGGCAGTACCGGCGGAGATACAACCCGACCACGCATGCAGTCATTCTCCGCCGTGGTTGAAATTTGTACCTCGAGTTGCTCGTGAGAGAGGCTTATGGCGTTTCTGATGCGACGCAGATGCATGTACTGGCAGCCACGACAGCAGGATGATGACGATCGTGCTTCATGATAAGCTGATCCTGCCACGTAGTCTGTAAATGGACATTGTGCTCCGCGACTAAAGAATGGAAAATTTAACCGTCGAGGATAGCGTGCAATCGGCAGATGGTTGTCCTTCATCAGCAGACTTGGGCTTGTTTCGGCGGTGACTGCTTTTCCTGGAATCTCAGATGTACTTTTCCTCACCCACTTCTACAAGTGGTCATGCTGGACCAAAAGAATCAGGTCAGCTTCAGTTGGCTCTGTCTCGTACCGTTCAGCAAGCACCATGACCGGTGATGCGACCTGAATGCTGGTCAGCCGGATCTCGAGCGGATACGAACTGCAGAAACGCCCAGTCGAACGTGATGCACGATAAGCCGGACCTGTAGTCAGATGCACTGTTGATGCACAGGAAAAAAAAAGCAAAAATGTTGGAGATGGTCGCTTACAGAAACACAACAAGTGCAGCTGTGGGGGTGGATGACGCTAGACACAGCGAGGGTTGAACGCCACCATGCATCCAAAGCATGGCCATTCCTTGTCGGCAGCACACCACCAAGGATCAACCTAGTCAGTGCTCCCCATTCGAGGTCGAGTGCTCCTAGTGTCGAGAGCGTTTGAAAATCAATCAAAATACCCTGGCACTTCTGAATCAGACCAAATTTTCCAGGTCATGGAGACTGTCTCGGTGCTGCACAGGTCAGTTCATCTTCGATGCCTCAGTGGTCTGACCCTGGACGCATACTCCAGTAAGCCGCATCTTGTGCTGCAGTCTGTCAGGTTTGTCGCCCTGTGATGGTTTGGTCACGGAGGAGGTGGTGGTGGAGGCCTGGTGCGGTTAGCTCACGCCAGAATTATTGTTCGGCCTTAATCAGCGTCCCGTGTCTCGCTGCCTCGTAAAAGCTTTACGAGTGTTGAGGTTCGACACGAGAGTGGCGTTCAGATAACGGCTTCTCGGCCACTGTGCTTCATTCTACTTGGGACAGTTCAGACGGCATCATTCTTCTCCCATGGCCATGCCTGGACGGAAGGTCACCTGGCGGGGTTGGTGCTGCGCTGATCTTCCAGGACGCAGCGCTGCAGGGCCATCGGGCAGTGATCATCGAGAAACGTCAGACATCTTTTGGTTTTGATATCAAAATCCTGTTGTTGCGTTTC